CCCCCCCCCCCCCCTTCCTCCCCCTACGCTGGAGGAGGGGAGAGGGAGAGGTGGGGGGGGGAAACGAAACAGAAGTTGGAGGAGGATGAGGAGGAGGTGCAATAATGAGGGGAAAGGAGGTGCGGGGGGGGGAGTAGCAGAAGTTGGAGGAGGCAGAGAGGAAGGGTGAGGGGGTGTGAGATATACGCTGTACATCTAGTGTGCATGCTCGTGCGTGTGTGTTGCATAGCACGAGCCCGCAACCGTTTTGGCCCTGTATTGTGCAAGGGCCTTTGAGTCAGACAGAGCACGCTGTGGAAAACGTCTCAGATGTTTTTTTTTGTTTCTGGCTTCTTATTCTCATTGCCCTCAAAGACTTCGTGGGCTTTGATAAGTTCATATTGGTAGCGGAGCCTGTCGATCTTTCGGCAGGCTCGTCAGCGCCCTCCATATTCAGTGGACCGCTAAGCTTCGACGGCCACAGCTCCATATTGAGTGGCTTCGAGCCCAGTTTCAGCTACATTTCGGAATCGACCCCCAGCGAGGTCCAGAGCGACAATTTCAGCAGCGAGTACGAGCAGCATCAGCACTCTTCTCTCGACAGCGAGGACGACCTCTACGCCGCAAAGGCCAGCAACATGGCGAAGGCAGGCGGCAGAGGAGCCGACGACCAGCAAGCAATACTACCAGAACGCGGAGTTCCACAGTTCGATGGCACACTGTCGGGATGGAAGGAGTACGGGAAGCGGGCGACTATGTTCATAGCGAAGCTTACCTTGGAGAAGAAGGAGGGCGAAGCGGCTCCCATGTTATCGGCTGGGTTGACGGGTGAAGCTTGGGATGGGGTTGAGGACCTCACAGCGGATGACCTGATCAAGCCTGGCGCGGCTACAGCGCTGCTCACACGCTTACGGAAGCGTGTCAAGATGGACACACGGACGGAGTTGGCAGATGATTTTGAGGAGTATTCCTACAAGTTACGACGTAATCGAGCAGAGACCCTGTTCAGCTATATATCACGAGTTCGGGCGTCAGAGCGGAAGCTCAAGACGCATGACATCGAGCTGCCATCCAAGATTCGGGGATGGCTGATTCTACGACGAGGTGGTTACAGTTCAGACCAGAAGGCAGTCATCATGTCCATCGTGGGCAAGGATATCACACAGGACAAAGTGATCGAGGCGCTGGAGACGACATTCGGACAGGAGAGCACAGCACACGAGCCGAATCATGCACGGAAGCAGTACCACGTGGACGACGAGATAGGAGAGTACTACGAAGAATATGCATACTATGGTCAAGACGACGAACTAGAGTTCGACGACGGCTACGAGCAGGAGTACTGGGCCGAGGACGGCGACGAGAGCTGGACGACTGCGAGGAGGCCAACTATCAGCGGGACACGGCGACGATGCAGGATTTTGATGTATCGGAGTACGACGAGGTCTACGCGGCCTACCACGACGCTCGCAAGCGCTTCAACGACTTGAAGCTTGCACGAGGCTACTACCCCGTGGTGGCGATGGTACCAGGCGCGACGGGGTCATCAGCATCGGCAGCACCGAGGCGCCCTCCGAGCAAGGGCGGAGCCAAAGGACGCGGACGCTCTCGAGGAGCTGGTAGGAAGGGCAGCCCAGGACGGAAGGGCTCACCACACTCGGCACCATTTCGCCCATTCAATCCGCACACGAGGCCAAGACCCACGGAGAGGGCGGATGCAGCTACGAGGCCAGCACCATCCAAGGCGACGTGTCTACGACGTGGCGGAGTCGGACACTGGGCGAAGGACTGCCCAGAGCCACCGAAGAAGCGGCCCCACGGACAGATGGATCAAGAGATGATGGTGGACGTTGTCTACTGGGGCGACCGCAAGACGGCCGGCATCATTCCCGCACAATTGGCGACCTTGGACGGCGGCGCGACTACGCTTATGTCAGGTTCGGAGACGATCAAGGAATACTTGACCACATGCCACGCCAGGGGCTGCCCGATCGAGACGCTGGAGTTTCACACGTGTCAGAGGCCATTCCGTTTCGGCAATGGCGAGGTGGGGCACGCGCTGCGGTGCGGCGCCAGTCCAGCGAGCTTCAAGAGCAAGACGGGAACCCTCTACATCTACCTCGTTCCAGGGAAGACGCCAATACTCTTCCCGCGGCCCCTACTGGAGAAGTTTGCAGTGCAGGTCGACTTTGCGAATCAGCAGCTGGCGTGGAACGGCGGCAGCTACGAGGGGGCGCGCACGTCTCCGCAAGGCCATTGCATTGTGGATCTGCTTGAGGACATGGGCGACCAGACGAAGGACATTCAGTTGGACTTTGAGCGCGGGCCGGTCGATTTCAAGGAGTTCATGGACGGCGATAGGACCATCGGCGGCCTGGAGCTTCTAGATGAAATCTACAAGGTCGACAATAGCAGCAGCGACGACGGGGAACAGTGGGAAGTTGCGCATCAGCGGGCGCACTCAGAAGGATGCCCGCAACGAGTCGTGAAGGTCAACTGCTGTCGCGAGTATGCGGAGCCTATCGGTGTCAGAATCATGCTTCCTGCGGCAACCTTTGCTTCGCAACGACGCCGATCCAGCCAGTCGACCCGGGCCTGCCAGAGCCATGCTGGTGCCTGGCGGACGCCTACAGCGACGCGACGCAGCTCACCGAGCAGGACACTTACAGCAGCGACGATGGCGACAAGAGGCAGGTCACGACCAACTTCATTCAGAAGATCGACTCGGTGATCAAGCACGCGAGCGACCAGTGCACGCAGACGATGCGGCGCGCAGCGGCAAAGCGCTGCACCACGCGACGGAAGGTCTGGGAGGTCTATGCAGGCGAAGCTCGGTTATCTCAGAGTCTACGCGACCTCGGAGCGGACGTCGAGACGTTCGGACTACGCACGGGCTGGGACTTCGCGAAGGCCGAACGCCGAGAGCGGTTCAAGCGCAAGCTACACGAAGAACAGCCAGACGAAGTACATCTCTCCCCGATGTGGACCCTGGTCCAACATGCAGGAGCTAAGCATTCACCAACACCCAGGTTGGAAGGGGTATCTTATTGAGCTACGTGACTGGCATCACCGGACACCTGCAGTTCGTGGCGGACGTCTACCACATCCAGTTTGAAGGTGGACGCCATGCTCACGTGGAGCATTCAGCCACATCGAGGGCCTGGCAGACCAAAGCCTGGTCCAACCTACCGGGCTACAAAACGACCTTCGACCAGTGCATGCACGGTCTCACCCTACTAGGGAACGACGATCAGCCGGTCAAGAAGCCAACCGCCATCAGGACCACCAAGAAGCTCATGGCGGCTATCATGAGCACGCGATGCGACAGGTGCCACCAGCACGCAGTACTGGAGGGCAATGTGGGCGGCAGCGGCGTCAAGCGCACGAAGGTCACGGAGGACTACCCGTTCATCTTGGCAGCCACCCTGGCACAAGTTATGGTGGAGGCCGAGGTCGAGGAGATCTACAACGGCGAAGACGTCGGCAGCGGCAGCAATCCCACCTCGACGGACGAGACGGCGAAGGAGGAGGTTGTCCACGTGCACTCGCAGTTACGCGAGAAATACGGCACCGAGGCGCGGCGCTGCGTCAAGCGGCTACACCGGGACATGGGACATCCCAACCCGACGGTACTACATCGGTTACTACAGCAAGCAGTAGCTCAGGAAAACTTACTCAACTGCGCGTCTGCGTATCGCTGCGAGCACTGCATGCAGCGGCAGCGCCCGCCTAAGGCGCCCACAGCGTCAGCCAAGCAACCGACGAAGTTCAACGAGACCGTCTACACCGACGTGTTCTGGGTCAAGACCGTGACAGGCAAGACGGCAATCTTGTCGATGGTGGACGGTGCTACCAAGTACTGTGCCCTACGGACAATCAAGACGGAGACGGCCGACGAACTGATCAAGGCGGTCGAGCGCGGCTGGATCAGGCAGTTCGGTCCCATGGGCGAGCTACGTACCGACGACGGCTCAGGCTTTGCGTCGGACATGTTCATGATGTTTCTGGAGCAACACAGCATCAGTATTGTGATCGCAGCAGGCGAGGCTCACTCGAGTCTCGGAGTGGTGGAGCGACGCCATCAGGTGGTTCGAGAGGCGATCGAGCTCTACTGCCAGGGCGCCACTGAGCGTACGGCCAACACGGTGCTCGACGAGGAACTAATCACCGAGGCGTGTATCTACGTGCCCCACCAGGTTAACCGACTGGCGTTCACAAAAGGGTACTCACCATGTCAGCGGGTTCTGGGCATGGATCCCACTACGACGACGAACAACTCCAGCGACAAGTTCTCGCCCGCGACCCTGTACCAGATGAAGGAGGACGAGGACTTCAAGGTCGTGCTGGAGAGGAGGTCTATGGCGGCTTTCATGAAGGCGGACGCCTCAGCCAAACTTCGACGCGCACTCCTACGACGACACGTGGCGCTCAAGCACGATTTGTCCATCGGCCAGCGGTGTTACTACTAGCTGATCAAGAACAAGTGGAAGGGCCCCGCAGTCGCGGTGTTCAAGGAGATGCGCCAGGACGAGAGTGGACCACGCATCTACTGGATCGTTCACGGCACGCAGCTACTACGGTGTGCACCTGAACACGTTCGGCCAGACGTGAGTGATCAAGGGTGCGTTCTACTCGAGAACCTGACCCAGGCTACGGATACACTGGACAGTATGCGGAGGACGGGCGCGACGCAGCACCACGACATTAGCTCGCAGCAACCCCCGTTCGACGCGCCGGGCGACTCGGACATGGACGTCGACGACGACGCGGAGGACGGAGACGGAGACGAAGGTCCAGCATCCAAGCGACGTCGAGGAGGAGGTCCTGATCCTAGGACGGCCCCAGTGGCGGAGGCACCTACAGAGGCATCGTCATCTGGGTCAGCGGCGGCAGCAGCCACGGCAACACCAGAGGTACCACCAGCCACAGCAGCTCCAGCGGAGGATCTTCCAGACGCGGAGGCGCGGGTACCCGACGGCAGTCGACAGACGTCTAATTCTCGTCAGCCAGACCAGGATCCGATGCCGACGACACCCCCACCAGAGCAAGAGCAACCAGCAACTCAACCGACAGCACAGCCAGCGCAGACAGCGCAGCCAGCAGCATCATCATCGGAGCAGGAGCTCAGAGCGACAAAGGCACAGTCGAGGACTATCTCAAACCTTCAGAAAGAGCGGCTCAGGATGGACAAAGCAGAGGCGGCGATTTTCACCAGACCTGGAGGCGGAGTCTTCAGAGGCACTCTACCCGACCCTGGACTGAGCAGCGCGGTACCAGCACTGGACCTCGACGATGCTGACGACGAACTTGCAGCTTTACAGCTGATGGTCACCAGTCAGGATTTGCCATTCGGCTGGGAGTTCGACGGGGCGGAGGCGAAGCTCAGCGACATATTGGTGGACATCAGCACGAGGAACATGACGCCCCACGAGCGCGCGGCGTTCATGCAGAGCAAGCGGAAGGAGCTGGCGGAGTTCTTCGGCAATGACGTCTGGGAGTTTCACAAGCCCACCGGGGAGGAGGACCCTCGGCGGATACTCAAGGCGAAGTGGGTGCTCAAGTGGACAAAGAACGACGACGGCACACTACGTGCCAAGGCGCGGCTGGCACTGCAAGGTTTCAACGTCCCCGACGCACTCAGTGGCGCAGTACCGACGGCATCGCCTACAGCATCGAGACTGGCAAGACAGATGGCACTACAACTGGCGGCGAACAACGGCTGGAGACTGTGGAGAGCAGACGTAGCTACTGCATTTCTTCAGGGACGACCCCAAGAGCGTGAGTTATATGCAAAGGTGCCCAAAGATGCGGCAGAGCTCATGGGCATCGAGCCGAATACTCTTATGAAATTCATTAAGCCAATGTACGGTCAGGTGGACGCACCGAGGCGTTGGTGGCCACGTGCGGTAGACGACCTGAAGGCCAGTGGTCTCAAGCAGCTCCTTTTGGACCCCTGCAGGTTCCTCAGTTTCGATGAGGACGGCAATAATGACGGGTTCAATTTACGATATGTGGACGACATGCTGGGAGGTGGAGATCGGCGGCCAGCAGTAACTATAGTCGGGCTATCACCGAGGTAAAACGAAAGTTCAAGTTCAGGAAATGGATCGAAGACGACAAGATGGACTACTGCGGCAGCGACTTGTCGCAGACCCCGCACTGGGAGAACCCGAAGTCGAACAGCAGCGAGACTGAGGTGAAGATGGCGACCTACGCGAAGAACTTAAAGCCCATCACGATCGACCAGAAGAGCAGCGACAACACGAGGGAGCTCACTATCAAGGAGAAGCGGCAGCTACGAGGCCTACTCGGAGCGTTGCAGTGGCCAAGCTCTCAGGCGTGTCCTCATCTTTCGGCTTCGGTCAGCATTCACCAAGGGCAACTGCCCGCGGCAACGGCGGGCGCGGCCAAGGAGGCGAACAAGACACTGCGGTTCTACAAGCAGAACCCGGACGTCGGGCTCAAGATGAAGAAGGTCGGCCAGGTATGCGACATAGTGTTCGTAGCAATGACGGACGCAGCCTGGGGAGTTCGACAAGACGGGCCCAGTCAAGGTGGCTACGTCATCCTGGCATGCCACAGGAAGATATTCGACGGACACGAGTCCGACTTTAGCGTGATCGACTGGAAGTCCTTCAAGCTACTGCGCATGGCACGTTCCTCTCTACATGCGGAGTCACAGGCAGCAGCAGCGGGCATGGGTGGCTTGGAGTTTGCGAAGCGATGCTGGGCAGCCCTGATCTACGACGGCGTGGACATCACGAAGGATGAAAGCACCCGCATGGCGGGTGAGTCAGCATTAGTTGTGGACGCGAAGGCGCTCTACGACGCGGCCCAGAAGGAGAGCGTCGCTAGCTTCCAGGGCAAGCGGGCCGGCATCGAGGCGCTAGCGCTGCGTGAAAGGATGGAGGCTACAATCACACGCTGGAGGCGGGTATCTTCAGAGAGACAATACGCGGACGGGCTCGCGAAGATCGCGGCGAGACAGCTCCTCGCCGACCGTCTGCGATATGGCAGGCTACAGCTCAAGCGTGACCCGAACTACACGGCGGCGAAGAAGAAGACCAAGGAAGAGCGACAGGAGAGCATTGATCATACCAGGCCGGTGACATCGGCGGCTACGCGGAAGGCAACGACACCGTTCATACAGTTGGCGGTGTTCGCAACTGGTTGTTGCAGATCAGCGGCTCGCTCGGGCTACGACACGAAGAACGAGAACGACGGCTATGGTATTGTGATTTGGTTTGCCATGTTTTTTTCTTTTTTTTGTTTCTTATATTTCTTGGGTTATGTGGAGCCTATCCTGCTGCATCCTACCTGATCAAGATCAAGGAGGCCGAGTACAAATACAAGACTGAGTTGGCAGCTCCACGGGCGAAGGCCGAAAAGGAGCGGATCGAGAAGGAGAGTGAACCAAAAGGACCGCCAAGAAACGAGCGCGGCGGCTCGTCGAACGACCTGTACACGGCCAGGACGGTGGGAGTGCAGAGCATGACGACATACAAGCTCAGCGGAGACGCTTGGAGGTTTCAGCATCAGACCCAGGGCTTTCGCAGAGCAGGCGAGGTGACTACCGAGCCAGAGTTGACGGAAGGTTTTCGAGTTCACAAGTGAGGTTTGTATTCAATACTATTATTTCTTCGTTTTGCGGTTTTCATTGCTTGCCGCCCGAGAGGTTACGATGGTGGATTTCGTTTGGAGATCCCTTTGTGATCGTGGATTTCGTTTGGAGATCCATGTATGATTGTGGATTTCGTATTGGAGATCCATTTACCTGCAGTGCGATATATCGGCATTGCTTCTTTCAGCGTGGAGTTAGTTACACTTTCTCACACATTATAACTTTGCTGTTCATTATGCTTATTGTTAATGCAATCCTAGGAATGTTTATCTGGATTTGCTATATTTCAGATTGACGGATGGCTTCTCTCTGTTTGATTTGTTTTCGTGCTTTTACGGGTGTGAGGTATACGCTGTACATCTAGTGTGCATGCTCGTGCGTGTGTGTTGCATAGCACGAACCCGCAACCGTTTTGGCCCTGGATGGTGGAAGGGCCCTTGAGTCAGACAAAGCACGCTGTGGAAAACGTCTCAGATGTTTCTCTGGCTTCTTATTCCCATTGCCATCAAAGACTTCGTGGGCTTTGATAAGTTCATAGGGGGGTACAGAAGTTGGAGGAAGAGCAGCAGCAGCAACGAGGAGGGCGACAGGGGAAGAAGGTGGAAAAGAACTAGAAATGTGTCCCTGAGGATGTGGTGTGATTGTGCCCCAGGGAGCGGAAGGGCTGCCGTCTTCCAGGACACAGGGGGCTCGGCCCCCAGCAGAGGTCCAGGTCGACATCGTCGCCGCCGGCGCCCTCCGGCATCATCTGGGACGAAGAGCCCGAACGCCACCCCCAGGCACTGCACGCCACGACAGCACTGCTGTGCCGCAGCGTGAAATGGATGGGGCGGCTTGCCGTCGTCGAGCCGCACGCGTCCGCAAGCAGTTTTCTCCAGAAGAGCCTGGTAGCAAAAAGGGAAACACCGGGGGAGGAGGAGGAGGAGGAGGAGGAGGAGGAGGAGAAGGAGGAGGAGGAGGAGGAGTAGGAGCAGGAGCAGGAGCAGGAGCAGGAGCAGGAGGAGGGGGAGGAAGGAGCAGGAGCAGGAGGAGGGGGAGGAAGGAGGAGGAGGAGGAGGAGGAAGAGGAAGGAGGAGGAGGAGGAGGAGGAAGAGGAGGGAGGAGGAGGAGGAGGAGGTGGGCCCCTAATGCACGCAGGAGTCCGCCTGAAGGCCACGCGCGCCCTGCCGCCGAGGGCCCACCCCCCCCCGCGGATGCACCCTTGCCTGGGCAGGGGCCCCTCCCCGCGCGGAGAGCCGAGGGGCTCCCCTGAGCCAGGGCTGTGCTCTGCTCTGACATTTCGGCGGCGAGCGAGGGGGGGAAATGAGAAGGAGAAGGCCTCCTCAGAAGGTGGCGGGACTTCTCAGAAGCCCTCGCGCCTGAGCCATGGCTGTGCTCTGCTCTGACATTTCGGCGGCGAGCGAGGGGGGGAAGTGAGAAGGAGAAGGCCTCCTCAAGCGCGGGCAGCGGAAGACAGGGAGGGGACGGGGGGGCCGTCAATGCCCGCGCCACCCTCGTCCAGCAAATCGGGCCATCGTGGTGATGATGGGTGGTGATGGATGATGGGTGTCAGTGATGATAGTGGCGATGATGCTGATGACGGGGGGAGGGCGGGGGGGGGGGCAGCGGGAGAAGGAGGAGGAGGAGTGAACGCGGGGAGTTGTGTCTTCAAAACCAGGACCCACCACCACAGGATGTTTTGGTACCCCAAAGCATGCAATTGCGACTAGTTGTGGGTACCTCCCTTAGCGGAGTTCTCTATGGGTTCACGAACTGCGTGAGGAGCGCAACGATGCCTACCCGCCATGCGGGCCCTGCCGCTAACGCGTTCGGCGGGGCTCACTATGGGGCCACAAAACGTGTGAAGTGTGTAAATATATATGTATATATATGTGCTGCATGTATGTATATATATATATATATATATATATATCAAAGATCTGTGCGGCTCAGCAACGGACACCTTGCCGCTAACACATTCGGTGGAGCCCCGATGGGGCCACGGAACAACCGAATTAGGTCGGCACCGCCATGCGGATCCTGCCGCTGTAGCGCCCCGTAGAGCCCCCTACGGGGCCGCGACGTGTGGAGACCGTGCAGAGATTGATGCAGCGGCGCCATGCGGACCCTGTCAATGAGGCGCTGGGCGCAGCTCCCGATAAGGCCACGAAGCTTGTGAGAGGTGTGCCGAAATGGGCGCGGCACCGCCATTCTGACCGCGATTGCTGCGTTCGGTGGAGCCCCCACTGCGACCGCGAAACATTGTGACTGGTGTGCCGAAGTCAGTGCGGCGCCGCCGTGCGGACCCTGCCGCTGCGGCACCGGTTGAGGTCCCTCTGAAACCACGGAACATATGAAAGATGTGCCGAAATGAATGCGGCGCCGCCGTGCGGACCATGCCGCTGAGACGTTCGGTGGAGTTCCCCATGGGGCGCGAACCGTCAGAGGGGTGTGCCGTGCGGTGCCGCACTGCAGACCTTGCCGCCGGTGCGTTTGGCGAATCTGGGTATGGCGCAACGATGCGTGTGAGGGGTGTGCCGATGTTGGTGCGGCGCCGTCATGCGGACCTTGCCACTAGGGCGCTCGGTGGAGTTCCCTGTGGACCTGTGGGCAATGGAGCATGTGGTGGGTGTACCGATATGGGTACGGTGCCACCGTGCGGGCCCTACCGATGAGGCGTCCCGTGGTGCCCCCGATGCGGCCACGAAACGTGCGAAGAGTGCCGACACGTGTGGCAAGCCGTCTTGCTGGCCCTGCCGCTTGCGCGTTCGGTGGGCTTCCATGAGTGGCCGCGAAGCGTGTGAGCTGCGTAGCGAAACGGGTGCGACGCCGCCACGCGGGCTCGCAACTGGGGCAATCGAGGGAGTTCCCCTGCGCGGCCACGAAGCGGCAGAGCGCGTGCCGAAAGAATGCGGCGCCGCCAGGCGGGCCCTGCCGCAGGGGCGTTCGGTGAAGCTCCTTATAGGGGCCATGGAGCGTGTGATGGGTGGGGCGCCATGCGTGTGCCGCCGCCATGCGGACCCTTGTCCTTCGGTTTTGAATGTCCCGTGGCGCAACGAAGCCTGCGAGTGATGTGCCGAATTTGGTGCGGCGCCGCCGCGCGGGCCGTGCCGATGACGCGCCTGGTGGATCCCCTCGCGGGGCCACGACGCGTGTGAGGCGCGCTCCGACATGAACGCGCGGAGAGCAGGAGCAAGGATGGGATGGGGAAGAAGGGGCAGGGGGCAGCGGGAGTGGGAAGGACGCCAGGGGCTACCTCTTCAAAAGCAAGGCCCTAACACAACAAGATGTTGATGAACACGTATTTTGTGCCGTGTCTATTTCGTGCTTACATCGGGCTTTGGTGCTTCAAGATTGTTCCGGTATTGGCCAGGATAACGCAACAATGTTTCCGTATAGTGCTCCAAGACGGCCCCGAGAGCGCCCAATGGCGCCCCCGAAACGGCCCAACGTGCCCCCAAGAGTCACGCGTGTGTTCTAAAGGGGCACGGCGAAGTGCCACCCACCCCCAATTGGATTGACGCGATACTCTATGCCCCCACCTCCCCCGAGAACACCCGAGGTTTCCAAGAGGGCCCCAGGAAGCCCAAGGAATCCCCAAGTGCTACCCGCGCGGGCAGTGAACAGCCGCCTGATCACCCAATATCATCCCAAATGCGCCCAACGTAGATCCCATACATGTTTTTTGTACGATGCAACCCTGGCCCGCCCCGCCCCCTGTTTGAACGCCGTCGCCCAACCTTGACCCGCGATGACCCCCACGACGCCCGAGAGGGTTTCATGCGCATCTGTGCTAGCCTTGTTATTTCGCGATCTGGTTAACGAATGCCTCCACCAGACAGCTCGCCTAGAACTCGCGTAAGGACTTGTTGGCGGGGTGTGCGAAGCGCAAAACAGTGTTTCCCGAATGCCAGAACATGTGTCCTCGTTTGCGCAGCTACTGTCGCATCATGCTTGTTGTGAGGGATGTTGTGTGTCGTAGTTGCTCGCGTTGCGTTTCTGATGCGTAATATTACATGTCGCATAATCGATAATGGTGATTTGCTTCCATCGCGTTCCCTGGCGCGCTCCCTGTGCAACACAACGGAAATACGGAACAAACGAAACGGACTAAAACAACATCCTGCTTGACACTCCAAAATCATGCGTGCACTCAAGTTGCGTTTCGGCGTACACTCCAAAATGATGCGTGCACTCAAATTCGGTTTTGGCGCACACTCCCACATGATGCGTGCACTCAAGTTGGGTTTCGGCGTGCACCCGCACATGGTGCAGGCACTCATTCCGACACTCTCTCGGGCACTTTTACACAGCATGCAGAAACCACTCCCCTATACTACCACACCACACTTTTAAGATTTTCGCGAATCTACAGTTGTAGGAGGGGTTGTCAACCACGGATGTATATATATATATATATGTACTTATGTACACATATTTTGAGAGGGAGAGCGTAAAAGAGAGAGAGAGGGAGAGAGAAAGAGAAACAAACATAAATATACAGTAAACTATAGAGAGAGAGAGACAGAGAGAGAGGGAGGAGGCAGGAGTAGAAACAAACACCCCAACCCTTCTGGTTCCCCTTTCCCTCCCCTGCTCCCTCATCCTCCCCCTACCTCCCGAGGACAGGCTCCACAACAAGCGCCCGTCCGCCGAGCGCCCGTCGGGGAGGCGGCGCCAAGCGGGGGGGAGGGGGCGCCCCTCTGCTCCTCCTCCTCCTCTCCTCCTCCTCCTCCTCCTCCTCCTCCTCCCCCTCCTCCTCCTCCCCTCCTCTCCTCCTCCTCCTCCTCCTCCTCCTCCTCCTCCTCCTCCTCCTCCTCCTCCTCCTCCTCCTCCTCCTCCTCCTCCTCCTCCCCCGGGGGCCCGCCGCCGGCGCACCTGGCGCCGCTGCATCTGCACGCCCCGGCGCTCTCCGCCCGCCGTCGATGCGTCTCTGGGCCTCCCAGATGGGGTTGGAGTCGTCGGAAGCGGTCGGGGATCGTGCCGCCTCGTCGATGCATCGGCGATGGGCTTTCGAGACAGCGTCCGCTGTCCTCCACGTTGGCGCCACCGACGCACCGCGGATTTTGCCGATGCATCGCCGATGCGGCGCGATCCCCCACGACCCATCTGTTCCGACCCCATCTGGGAGGCCTCCAAGCTGCGCGCCCCGGCGCTCTCCGCCCACCGTCCGCGTGGGCCCCGCGTGACGGGGGGGCGACACAAAGGGGGGTGGCCCTTCGCCGGGGGTGGCCTCTGCTGTGGGCCGCGGGGGCTCACTGGGTGGCGCGCCTGGGCTTGGCCCGCTGGCGGTCCTCTGAAGCTCTAGGCCTCCCAGATGGGGTCGGAGCAGATGGGGTCGGAGGATCGCGCGGCATCGCCGATGCATCTCCACGCGGCTCAATGTGGAGCCCGATTTCCTTCACGCTGACGTCGCCGATACACCGGCGATGCATCGGCAATGCGGCGCGATCCTCCGACCCTTCTAGTTCGACCCCATCTGGGAGGCCTCTAGTAGCCGCGCATCAAAGTTCACTCTTCCCTCGGGCCACCCTTACGTGCAGCCGAGAAAGGCATTGAAAGGGGGATCGGGAGGAGAACCCAGAGAGCAGGACAGAGGGAGGAGGTGGAAGGGTGGTGGTGGTAAAGAGGAGGAAGATGAGGAGGAAAACAGGGTGAAGGTGCAGGAGGAGGAGGAGGAGGACCGAAATGGAATGCTTTGTGGTTGCTGAGCTTAGGTGCAGGGACCTGTCAGACGCGAGCAGCGCTATAGCAGGCATAGTGTTACGGGACAGCGTGGATATCCGACTACCAGCGCCAAGACAGCCAGAAAGGGACACATTTTACATGCATGCAAGCGTGCGAGACAGCAGGTGTGGCTGAGGCGCATCTAGTAATTTATTTTGCATCGAGCGATCGCCTCATAATCCTTGCTGGATGCGTTTCGGGAATTGCGGGGCCAGCGTGAAATCGTATCGCCTGGAATGTGTGATGGGTTGAACGTGGAACGCTCGCTGTGTAATCACGGGCTACTGGTATCATGTTGTATTAGACTGTATGTTGTTATATTGGTTTCTGTTTTCGTGTATTCTAGTTCATGGTGCTACATTATCTTTTCGACGGGCTGCACGCCGTCACAGATGAAGTCGTGACGCCTTGCCGCCGCGACGCATGTCACAGCGTCGCACACGATGTTACGTTATGCCAGGTCTTAGCCCTTTCTCCATTCTCATAGTTGAATACGTCATGATATAATATAGTCTGGACCCAGTTGTTTCATTCATTTCGAGCGTGTTCTGTCACAAGTGCACGTCGTCGTGCACGTTTGTGTAAAACGGCATATTCAATCAGTCGTTGCTGAGTTCTGGAGTGCTTCAATTCTAGTATGTTCAAGTGGCTCAAGGCGCAAGGGCAATAATGTCACGGGTAGCTTCGCCAACACACCGACCGCGACCGTTTAGGTCGCAACCCGCTTTCTGCTTGGAGTACTCCTGCCACTGCGCACGATGTCGAAGCATGCCGCTACCTCTGGCAGTTCCCCCGACAATCACAACCAGGCTAAGGTTACACCTCAATCAGATCGAGCCGAAGAAATGTTCACCGAGCTCAAAGGTATGAGGGGGAGTCTTGAAACAAAAGTTGACGCCAGCCTTGCTATCGCTCAGGAAGCTAAGAACGAGGCGAAATCCGCCAAGCAGCAGGAAGTCCTGGAGACGTCGCTGGCCATTGCTGGGATCGAAGAGGGGGTCGAGCATATTAGCGCTACATTGGACGCTGTAAAGAAGGAGGTCGAGTCCATCAAGCGCTCTGGGCCCACCAACCACATCGACCAGGACAACCACGAGAGGTATCAGCAGGTGCTTGCATCCGGTTTAAAGGAGCGAGTGGCTGCGAACATCATCATTGAGAATATCGGGACCATGCTGAATGACGTCCTAGGAAAGGGTCATGCTGCCATAGTGGAAGCTGGCGGGGACCCGGCGCGAATGGGGATCACTGTTTTCCAAGATTGTTCTGCTAAAGCCGAAGTTTACAAGAAGGTGAAAGAATACAAGGGGCACGGCAAGGTGAAACCAATGTTCTTCCGCAGCAACCGTACGTTAGAGGAATGGACCTATGACAAATTTGCTGGTTACACCAAGTACCGCCTCATCGAAAAGAAGCATGCCACCCACGGACGACGATGTCAAAGTCACCCGGCGGAAAAACATGGTGGAAGTTCTTGGGCGCACGGTGGCAAGCTCGCGCACCACGGGTACCATCAAAAAGGTAGAGAAGGCCGTCAAGGAGTCCATGGGTGCGTGGAAGAAGAAGCTGGACCCGGATCCAGCGACAGAGCCCGAGTGACGGCCCTTTCTTCCCTCGCGGGAACGCGACGACCACGCGCCCCAATGCACGCATAACTCAACACAAACAGCTTGCATTTCTCCGGCCCCATTCTCACGGATTACCTCTGGCACATCATCCGGGCAATTCTTCGCAGGAGGAGTCAGCGCGCACATGGCGACCTACTTGCATGTTTTCGCGTCGGTGACCTCTCTGACTCCCATATGTTTTCCGAGAGCGCGCATATTGATTTTTCGTCGCAGCACCCTTGCCACGCTAACATGCACCACTTAACCATCATTCACAAAAACGCCAGGTCACTGACGGCCGACGACCGCATCACCGAGCTCATGGACGAACTTGGTGACCACCATTGAGATTTTGTTTTCATCAACGAGACGTGGCGCTGAAGAGCATTGGGCCACATTTCACGGGCATGTTTCCGCTGGCGCCGGCAATTCCCGAAGGCCCCAGGGCGCAGCTATGCTCATCCACCGCCGCTGGGCCCAACGCATTCTCAAATGTGACGCTCTTTCTTTGCGCATGTCTACACTGCGCATCCGTCGTTGAGACCTCCATCTCGTTTTAGTTGCTCCGCATTTCCACCATTCCGGCCATGGCGATCCACGCGTGCAGGGCATGTACGACCGTCTTCATGGTCTCCGCTAGGGTTGTCGCGATGGCAGACAATCTATGGCGCTGGGTCGTCAATGCTCAGGTCGGGAGTTTTTTTTGTTTTCCATCGCGCTGGGCGACCATGGCAACGCTGACATCCCGGGCCCCGACGACATCTACAACTGGCCCCGCCAATTGGGTCCTCGCGGCTGCGGGAGTGAGAACTCACGAGGACAACGGCTCCGCCACTGGGCGGCCGCAGACGGCCTCGCAATCGCTGGCGCTTTTTTCCGGGAGCCACCAAGCGAACAAGCAGGTCGAGTGCACGTTACTCATTAGGGATCTTCTCAAATATTGTTGCAACGTGGATGCCGACGATTCCAGTGACCTCGGGTCCGACCATTCGGCTCCCGAGTACCACTCTGGCGCAACGATCTTCGATTCGGAGACGCTGCTATATTCGCATGCCGAGTCCCCATGGCGCTCAGAAATCCCACAACTCTCATCAATGCTGGCGCCGTCAGAAGGAACTCCTCCAATCTGCTCTTCTCCCCGCCACTCCACATGATCTGCGCGAGCACATGCAGGAATCGCTTCTCGAATCGCCGCCGCAGGGAGCGGCCGACGACGAGGGGGCCCGGAATACCGCGGGCGCGCAGCGCGACGACGACGAGGAGACGAACCTGCGCGATTTGATCCAGCAACGGCGACAGACGCCCAACGACGACCATGCAGCGAGACGACGCCTGAGTAAGTCGACGCGACAGGGAATTCGACGTCAAAAGCGGCGGGAACGGAAAGCTCGCATCACCGCGATACTCAAACAGCACGCGGACCTACGAGCTAAGTATAACCGCTGCGAAGACGAGGCGAGAAAAGGACCGCGATCACACGAATGACGGACGCCAGAGGCCGCCTCAGAACATGCAGGAAAGCAATTGGAGACGTTTGCTGCTGCGCTGCATGAGGAGTTGCACGATCATGTCAACGCATCGTTTGCGCTTGGATTCTCTGATGCCCCCGCGCCTCCTTTTCAGCGCGGCGGAACTGAAAACTGCCATCTCCGACCGCGAGCGCGGCGGGGCCTCAGATGCGATGGGGGCCGCGGCAAAAACATTTACGGGCGGCCCCAGGGGGCTCAGTGAAGCCCTGCTTCTTCTGCGCAACAAGGCGATGCGATCTGACGGGGGCGCTCTGGAGAGTTGGGGGGATATTGCCATTTCTGTGATGCCAAAAGCTGGGGGCCACGCCGCGCCTCAAAACGACCGGCCGATATGTTCTAAGCCTTAGTGTGAGTTGTCCAGGAGGCCTTGATGCAACCGACTCCAGCTTGTTCTGGATCAGCGTCGGCCTCGCGACCAGGCCGGATTTCGACCGGGGCATTTCACCAATGACCTTATATATATATATATATATATATATATACATATATATACATATATATACATATATATATATAGACATGGTTCGCGAGCGAGCGTGGGAGTTGGATCGGCCGTTATGCATCGCTGCGATCGACTTCGAGGAGGCGTTCGACCCCGTCGAGCGCGAGAGTTCGCGGCCCGCCATGCGCGAACATGGCGCCGAGCCGGGGGGCGCGCATCTCGCGCGACGTCTCTGCCGCGGCCAGGAGGCCGCCGCGCTCGCCGATGTCGCGAGTCGTTCCTTCAGCCTCCGCCGCGGCGCGAAACGGAGCGACCCCCTGAGCCCGCTGCTGTTCCACGCCGCCTGCAACGCATCGTGGCGCCGCT